AGTACATGACACATACATGACACAGCAGTCAGTACATGACACATACATGACACACCAGTCACTACATGACACATACATTACACAGCAGTCATTACATGACACATACATGGCACAGCAGTCAGTACATGACACATACATGACACAGCAGTCAGTACATGACACATACATGACACAGCAGTCAGTACATGACACATACATGACACAGCAGTCAGTACATGACACATACATGACACAGCAGTCAGTACATGACACATACATGACACAACAGTCAGTACATGACACATACATGGCACATACATGACACAGCAGTCAGTACATGGCACATACATGACACAGCAGTCAGTACATGGCACATACATGGCACATACATGACACATACATGAAACAGCAGTCAGTACATGACACATACATGGCACATACATGACACAGCAGTCACTACATGACACACCATACATGACACATACTTGACATAGCAGTCACTACATGACACACCATATAAGACATATACATGACGCAGGAGTCAGTTCATGACACACCAGTCACTACATGTCACACACATGACACAGCAGTCAGTTCATGACACATACATGGTACATACATGAAACAGCAGTCAGTACATGACACACCATACATGACACAGCAGTCAGTACATGGCACACCAAACATGACACATCAGTCACTACATGACACACCATACATGACACAGCAGTCAGTTCATGACACATACATTACACAGCAGTCAGTACATGACACATACACAACACAGCAGTCAGTACATGACACACCAGTCACTACATGACACATACATGACACAGCAATCAGTACATGGCCTCCACAGAGGTAAGTCGGACCGCGTTACGGTTGCACCAGTGGACAAACGGTGTGGACAGGACCTGTGCAATCCTGAGCATGGTGACACAGTCGTCCTCCGCAGTGTGCGACACATCGGGTACCTGGCCAAACATCCTCGCGTAGACTTCCACTAGCTTGTAGGACACTTTCGTTTCTGCCGTGCCCACCTTGTGCTCAGGGCTGTCCCGCAACCCACTCCCCGCCCCACCAACATTGGCTGCTGTTCCCTCACCTGACTCCTTCCTTACATTCTTCTCCTCATGTTCATCACTTCCCTGCCCACCCCCCAACCGCCCACCGTGTGATTCCCGTCTGTCCGCGCGGTCAGTCACAGCTGCGGCATTCTGGGACACATGGTCCGTTCTCTCGCTGCTTCCCTCCCCATCGGTGGCCGCGACTGTTGCAGGAAACAGCTGTCGTCTCGTCTCACTCCCCAGAATTCCTCTGACCCCAGGGCCGCGACATGCCTCCGGTCTATCTGGATGCGGGGCCGACAGTTTCCGTACGGGCGTGTGCTCCCCGCGGTGCCAGCCCCCCCGCCCTGGGTCACCACACAACACCGGACCGTCTGAAGACACGCTGACCTCCTCCCCCCCGTCCAGCCGTGATCGTTTCAGAGGCGGCTCATCACCACTGTCTTCCCCTTTTGGGCGGTCGCTGTCGCTGTTGAGGCTCACACCACCACTCTCCGCTGTCGTCACTACGTCACCACCCTCTGCAGCCTCCAGTGACAAACTATTTTTAGCACGGTGTTTGACTCCGTCACCGTGACCTGTTTCTGTGACTCTGGACGACAGCGCTAGTTTCTCCCGTTGCCGTTTCTCCAACACGTGATCTGGCACGGGCGGCAGGCCGTCTAGCGCACGGAACGCCTCGAGACTGTCGACACACAACACATCGCCAGGAACCTCCTGGTGGGCCTTCAGCAGCTCGGCAATCAACAGCGGGAAGTCAAAGCTGCAAGCAAACACAGAAAATCAGATCTTAAAAAACCACGGGGAACTTTGCTGTATAGAAACATTTCCCAGGCATTTCTTCACGTTTGGGTGAATACATAGAGGCGTATTCTGGCACAGAACATAACAGTGAACACTGTAACCCTCCCC